CGGTGCTCGATTAGAGATAAAACTTGAAATAGAAAAGAGCCAACGAGTATGCTTAGAACGACCAGCGAATAAATACTGTAAAAGTTTTAATGGATTATTTTATACGATTGTGCGCGCGTGTATTTAATTCGTTTTTCTTCCGAAGCAAAGTCTGCTCTCTAACAATTCTCCTTTCAACGATAATTCATTATTATCTCGAATTTCCTGTTTTTGTTCGCATTTGCTTTGCACTCTTTAAATTTTAATCGTAATTGTTGCCTTTGTATTTTTATATCAACATTTCTCTTTTTCTTATTTGTTAATGCGACCCCCCACTTGGTCACCAGTTGCAATGGAAGTCGCGATCGAGAATAAGGTTAAGTGTGAAAAACCGGGACGGTATCGTCGACCACCTAATAAATAATATTAAAAGAATATAAAATTTAAATTACTTTCTCTCGACTACTCGAGCGTGTTCAACGCTTAGGACTTTTTTAAGTTTTCAGGTTTCTATTATTCCCATCCGTTAGCGCTTAATTCGCCCCATAGAGATAGAATACATTTACAAATGTTGCTATTTATGGGTTAGCTACTGGGTCAGCTACTTTACTTTCGTTGTCGGTATTACAATTTAGAGCCACGGTTCTAGCCTCTCTGTCCTTCTGAACGACGTTAGAAGACGACCTGTAGCATTTCTATCACCGATGCCAGACACGCCGCTGTCCGTTCATAAAAGCTAGAATTGCTCAGAGCGTCGAATAATTGGCCTTGAATTCAGCTACGTAAAGAAAACTATTCCTTCGACTCGATCTTCGAACACTGGAAATGTTTAGGTGATCGTCCGTCCTTGCTAGAAGGAAGTGTTTACAAAAACTGTACCTTGTATACATTGGAAGTCTAGAATCTTACGACCGTTCGCTTGTTTTCCTTAGTTCACATTGTAGAACGATCGAAGACGCTCGACGGATTACGCGTGTATCTGTCTGGTAGATTCTCGGAAAAAGATTCCCAGGGAGAAAGGTCTCCGGGCAGAACCGTGTTTCTGGGAATTAAGGTATCCCCGGATCGTAGCTTTCTCTCTCTTTCGGTCTCCCGGAGAAAGAGATCTTCGCGAACGGCGAACTTGCTATCGGTTTTTAGCGTCCCGTGATTTTGTTTTTCGGTCGTAAAGACGCGTTGGACGATGGAAGGGGTGGCTTCTAACTCGCTTCACTGATCCCATAGATGTTAGTCGAGCGGGCAAAGCGACGAAGACCTATCGCCGCGATTAATCAGCATTAAGCTCTCGCGGAAATGTCGATCGGCGTCGAGAGGCGGATGAAGGTTGAAATCGAGCTCGCGCGTGGTTACGTGCAGTCATCGTGGAGAACAACGACCGTGTGGCTGGCTTCAGGCCAACGTAAGTCTAGTTGAAGGGTGAACGTGAACAACCAGGTGGAAAAGTGGGGGTGGTGGACCGAGGAAGGGAACGAAACGGAAGCGTTACGCGGGTGACAAAGACGTTTTTACGTGGTGCGAATCTCGTTTACGTGGTTGATTATAATCCTCGTGCGCGGTGCAAGATGCGCCAGCGACGCCGTCACGGCGGCTGAAGGACGAAGAAGTCGAGTGGCTCGTACGGCCCTCGATTCCACCAGCTCTTCTTTTTCCTTCGCGTCGCCCCCAGCGAGGAGGATACCGGAGTACTTCTCCCCGCTTCGTCGCTCGTCTCCTCGAGTGCGTTGGTCTGCCACGCGGAACAGGTGAGAACCGCCAGACCTCGAGTGTCGTTTACCAAATCCACCACTGCTTTTTTTACCCACACGCAACTCCCTTTTAATAACGTTTAGTCTTAGTCGAAGGGTTGAGAAAACTCACAGAGAATTAAAGGCGATTTTTTAATCTGGACTAGAATACCCCCTCAATGCCACTCTGATCGTTGTAAATTTCACCTTACATCCCCTTGCGTCTCGGCAAGCAGCTCGATGCTCTTTGTATCAACGTTTCGCCCCTGGTAGCATTGCGGTTCAGAGAGTTGGTCGATTAATTTATCCCTCTCGCTCCCTCCCGGTGCAAATGCTCGCACACTGAAAGCAGTCGGTCTCTGAGAATCTCCTCGAGATCCGTCTGTCAACGGCTGATACCGTTTGTGGCCTTCCAGAAGCCCGATTCAACGTTACGCAGGGACGTCGGTGCGTCTCAGACCCTTTGATAAAGTCAGTCGCGTTATCGGCGAAACGTCGAGCCCGCCTGTACGCGCGGCACAAATCCGAAAACCTCAAATAGTATCGACCCCCCCGAGAATCCGGGGAACCGAAAGTCTCGAGTATCTTATTCGTTCGGCAAGCTTGGACGTTTTCCCAATTTCTTTGAACAAGTCCTCCACCGCTCTAATGGACGAACTCAATCTTTCCTCAATCTCCGCTCCGGCTAAACGCGGCCCTGTGTCAACCGAACTTTCGACCGCTTAATTATTAAAGTCTACCGGTTCCCACGGACTCGATTCGCCCGGGAAATCGAGCGTATCTCCTTTTTCTCGTTTCCAAAGTGGAGCAATCTTATTTTGTCCGTTTACCGTGACGTTCTCTCTAATTGGCGAGCCAGCGAATCCACGGATATTCGAGGCTCGAATCGCGTCCATAGCCTTTGGGAAAATTATCCGATATTTCCAAGTTTGCTCCCGGATTGGGAAAAGTTACGCGATTCGCGCGAGAAACAATGACGTCCGTGGGCTGAAAGGTCTCGTTCTGCTCGACGATTCGTTTCGTGCAGTACGAACGAGTTTTCGTCGAGTAGCCGGAGTAACGCGAGTCGCGTGTTTCGTGTTACGCTAGAAAAATGTATCGTCTTTCGGAGTCGTTGGGAAACTCCGGGCATCCGGCAGGTACACGAAACTTCCACGGCGGAGTTCGCGTGAGTGAGTGGGTCGCGATGTTAAATGATTTTGCTCTCGAGGCACTACGAACTTGCTACGAAACAGTTACGCTTACGCCTAATCGCCTGGAGTTTCTCCTTTTTTACAATATCATCGATTAGGAGTCGTCCAAGTTCCTTCCGATATAAAAAAAGTCTCTTGTTCCGTGAAGATTTCGAGTAATTCGGTGCCAGGGTCACCTGATGTTGAAACCTCGTCCATTATTTGGAGATATTTTTTAAGAGATACCAATAGCTGCCATTTGCAGCGCTGGCGAATCGTTTGAAACACGAGCGGCCGTTTTCATATGCATACCGTTTCGAAATCCCTTTGTCCGGCGTGTTCCAAGGTAGCACGGGCTTCGATCGATATATCGTTTAAATCCGATACGATCGCGACGCGTTAATTTCTGGCGCAAACCTCGCCGCCTTCTTAATTAGAATTTGGAAAATTCAGTGGACGTTTCGAAGGTTAATTATGCCCCGTGATTTCGTTCGTTCGGAAATAATTGATGTTGGCCCGTGGTATCGCGAGCTGGTCGAGAGAGAATCTCGTTCAAAGAGGCTCGAAGAGCCGCGGGTAAATTTTATGGATAGCTACTCTTTTTACAAGAGGCCGATAGCTTCTTCTCAGCCACTTCGCCTCGTAACGAGCTACCCTACGTAAATAGGTATAACCACTCTTCCCGATAGCCTCGAACGCTCCTTTGCCAGATTTTATTGTTTAAGGGTTAGAATCTCGAGCCTCGTTCATCGGATCATCCAGATAACGCGTGTCGGCTAGGATCGTTGACGTAGTCCTTCTACGTTGAAAGTTGACTGAAAGGATTTTCAGCTGGCCAATAATGCACAGAAAATCACAGATCTCTATCGAAACATAATCCCGCAGGTTACTTTGATAACCAAAATAGAATAACGAAGCTGATCGACGTTTCTGCTTCGACGATGAAAGCGATACCTATGGATGGCTAAACGATACACCCTTCCGATATTGCCGTGCACGAACGTAGTCTTGTACCGAGTTGCACATAGAGACGCAAGTATTGTTGACGTAACCGTTAAAAAACGCTTTAAAGGAACGCCAAAGCTGTCATCGACGCACCGGGTCTCGGAGCGTTGGGAGTTCCGTTCCGCGATCGGAAAGCAATTTCGCCGACTTTCGATTCCCCCGTAACGATAGAACCGGTACAATTTAATTGTCAGCCGTTGGAAAGTTCGACCTGGCTCGGTAAATGTTAAACGAAGTTCCGGAAGTCCTGCAGTTCGGCGAAACGGACGCGACGCGTCGACGGAGTCGAACTTGAAACAGCGTTCACGGTTTGTCGGGTTTTATCGGGGAATCGAGGCCCGCGTAGTCGTCGAATGCTCGATAAGTTCAGCGAACGCGAGCCCCTACGGTCGATGTTCCTCGTATTCGGTTTACAAACATCGCACGGAGTCGATAATAGTTAAATTTAGCCGCGTTTAGGTTCTTTGGAGTTGCTCGCGTAAGAACGTTATCGTGCCACGATTGAAACAATGCGATCCGATAACGAACGATCGGAGAAACCGACCGTAGACTCCGCGTCCGACTTCGCCGCGGTTCGTTTCGTTGTTCCCGTCGCGTGTACGATTACGTTACGAATGCAGGAATCAATTGACTGTTCAAGGCCACGGGGAAGATAGGTTCGTCTGAGAGGGAATTCTAGTCTAGACGTCCATTTTGTACGAAGAAAAATAGCCATATACAGGGTGTTCCGGGGGAAAATTTTAATGATAGATGAATCAAAGGCCGAATCAAAGTACATACAGCTGTCTCATTATGGCCTCTGGAATCTCCCATTAAAGTTTTCTGCATTTATTTTGGTTTTAATGAGCTTGTACTTACAGTTGTGTTTTGTGTGTTGGATACAGGATCGGTTGAGACGACACGGAGCGAAGGAAAAGCGGGGGAAGAGGAGGGAAGCCGCGAGGCATCAAGCGCAAGAAGAGGAGAAAAAACGTCGGGAGCGTGATACGCGATACGCGAGGCGCGATACGTCGAGAGCAATCGATCGGAGGAGGGGGGTAAGGGGAAGAGGAAAGAGAGGAGTATCGAAAGCAGCCGCGGAGTTTGTAAAGAGCAACGTAGGGTGCGGGGCCGGCAAAGCCTTGTGACGAAACTAAGGATTAGATGGTGGAGGTGCTCGAGAGGCGGGCTTGGGAGCCTACGGGGCCGATCAAGGCACCTCGCACCTACGCAGGGCCAGCCAGCCCTGCCGATCGCTGGCTGCGAGTCCAGCCCTGGCTTTCTCTCTCTCGCGTTCTCCTCGAGGATGACCTCTTAGCGCGCAGGCTGCTCGCTCTTACCGACTATCGTTGCTCGTTGCGCCGGTTGCTCGACCAGGTACTCGCTCGGCATAGCGTCAAGGACATTGAGAGGCCGAGGATCGAGGCGTTTCGGGGAAAGGACCGGAAGGAATACGGCTTGCAGCGCGAAGAGGATCGCCAGGCGGAGGGAAGAAGGCCGCGCGACAACCGGGACTCAACGGTGAACGACGGAGCCGTGGTTTCGGCCAGGTTAGAGGATCGGTCAGAGCTCGGAAAGGGCTCCCACGAAACGAGCGAGACTGGCGAGCGCAATGTGGCAGAGCGGTGGCATAGGCGCCCACGCGGCCAACAATCCATGGATGAAGTTAATGGGAATTGTCCACAAGGACAGAAGGCATCACGACTCGGGCAGCGCTGCCGTCGCTTCTGGTGCTCAAGGATTAGCGACCACCGGCAGCAACGATCGGACGCTCAATCAGTGAGTTTTTAACACACCTCTTACGCTTTTATCCTCTACTTACGCTAGCCAACGTCTAGTTCATCGCACCGATCCGACGACTGACCCTTAAACCGTCCACTTGTTCATCTTTACAGGGTGCTAGAACAAACATCCCAGCTTCCGATCGTAACAATACCGTTGACACGTTCGCTGCCTCGCAAATATATGCGACTAGTTTGGTAGTTTAAGTAGAAATTCATACGATGCATCAAACGTAGACACTTTATAGGATTTCGAGGGGGTCGTCAAAGTCAGCGAACGTGTTATACGTTAAGTTCAGGACCTATGCCCATCAGACAGTTTCTACTATACACCCTTAAAGTTCTTACCCTTTTTGTATCACCCTGCATATCAAAAGATAGGAAGGAAACTATCATTAATCAAACTAGGAGGATTCATCTCTAAAATTATCTCTGCAACGGCAGAGCCAACGTTTTCCAAATAATTCTGTGTCCCCTGCGAAGTATACGTACTTGTTTTATTAATCCCTCGCTGCATAAAACCGGGGGTTCGATTTATTATAAGTTCAGCCACGTACATATTATATGTAGAAACGGTTATTACGCGAATTCTTTTGACTCAAAGGCAACAGTCCCCCGGCGGAAAAGTCAATTTGCCATTCGTATTAAGAGAAATTGCCGCGATACCTTCGGCTTCGGGAGTATCGAGGCCGACAGCGTCTACTTAATCGGAAATTAAATTCATATTCGATGTTACAACATATCAACGGGCCTCGTGGATCGTGTTTTAACCCGTGGTTTCCCACTCGAGCAGCTATCTTTTTCCCCGTCTTCTCTCACGGGGTTTACACAGTTTGACGCTGTAACGCGATAAATTACACGATTACAGCATCAGGGCCAGCAACGAGATCAGGATTTCCCACCTACCGTCCTATATACGCGACAGCTCGCTTCTCGATACACCCGCATAGCGTTACGAACGAGGAATTCAACAAGATTGTTTCAACGAAAATTTACTTTCGAACAAATACAATTTCAGAAACAAGATGAGAATTGATTTTTAAAACAACAGTTCGAGGAATCGACTTAGGAATCTGCAGTCTTATCAAAATGGTGAACGTTCCCCGTGAAAGGTCACAAAAGACACGCGTGGAGCATAGAAATCTCGAGTCTCGTAGTCTTCCTTTAACGCGCGAGTTGTTCGCGAGACGGTCAAAGAAGTCTGTCGCGTAATAAAATCGTAAAGGGAGCGCGTAAAAGAGCACTCGAAAACGAAGCGTTGTTCTCGCGACGAGAGCAAGAGTTCCCCGCGTACCTTCGACCGGCGACTCCGTCGTTTCGATCGCCCGGAATCATTTATCGGGCCGAAGTTCTGATAATCGTTACCTTTATTCGCCCAACAAAAACGTTTAGAACCGTTTGACGGTGTTTGCTTTCGCTGTATCCGGCCATTGTCGATTCTGAAAACTCCGCGCGGATAAGCATCGGCCGTTTTGTTTCCCTTTCGCCTCATTTTCAGCGGCTCCGCGCGCCTACGTTGCCGTGTGTTTTCCCGGGCCGGGTCTAACAATGCATCGTCGCTTGCCGGTCCGCCACTTTCGCAAACGGGCCGCATACAAATGCACCCGCTACCGTGGTTGCGAACGCCCAGCCACTCCGCGCCAAGCCCCAGCGAACGAGTGTTACCACGATTAAAAACCGCCCCCGTCCCTCCCAAACCTTCCGCCTACGCCTCCACCTCCGCCTCTTCATCCTCGGAGGGTTTAGGTTGCGAGGAGAGCAAACAAGGCGCGATACGCGCTCCACAGAGAAAACCGGCATCGTTCCTGCACCACCGACAATGCTCGTCTCTTCCATTCAGCCTCCTTCGCGAGACCTACTTGCTTTCTGATAAATATTAGGTCATCCTATAACTAACGCAGTTTTTTTCGGTACTTGCCGTACCGAAAAGGCGATACCTCGGATACGACCACCGTTCTACGATCTGCCGTTACTAATCCCCTAACGTTTTGCAATTGTGCATCGAAAACCTACGCTTTCGAGTGGATGCAATTTACACCGATCAAGTTAACTTTCTTTATCATTGCTGGGTATTAACTCATAATCCATATCTAATTTTCTATTAACTTGTTCAGTCGCGATACAGACGAGGTATACCAGTAGATTTTACACATTATGAACTTACGTGGCTCAATCTGACCACATTTTCAGCAAAATTAAAAAATTTCCAATCGTTCTGGAAAAATTATTTTTGGTTACAGAGGTCAATTACAATCATTTTTGGTCAAGAGACATACCCTCGAAATCCTAACCATTTTCGAACAAAAATTTAATGAGTGGACAAATTTTTCGGAGAAATTAAAAAATTTCAAATCGTTTTAAAAAAATTATTTTTAGTCGCAGGGATCAATTACAATCATTTCTTGTGAATACACATACCCTCGAAATCCTAACCATTTTCGAGAAAAAAATTTAATGAGTGGACAAATTTTTCGGTGAAATTAAAAAATTTCATATGGTTTTAAAAAAATTATTGTTAGTTGCAGGGATCAATTACAATCATTTCTTGTGAATACACATACCCTCGAAATCCTAACCATTTTCGAGAAAAAAATTTAATGAGTGGACAAATTTTTCGGCGAAATTAAAAAATTTCAAGTCGTTCTAAAAAAATTATTTTTAGTTGCAGGGATCAATTATAATCATTTCTTGTGAATACACGTACCCCCAAAATCGTACTCACTATCGAGAAAAAAATTCTTTACCGAAACTATAATGTAATATTTAAGGTCTGCTCGTATACCTCGTTTGTGGTCGCAGCACGTTCTTAAATTATCGTATGAATTACTCATCGAATCGCGTATCTTATGCCAAAAAGTCACCGGTACCTTTTCACGTTCTATTCAGGCACACGTGTCTGCGGAAAAATCGCATCCCTTATGGAATGACCTAATACTTTTCCATTGAATTCGAAATCTTCCATTCGGAATACCTTGCGGTGCGAGACGAATCCTCGATTCGAGCCGTCCGTGGTGATTATATCGGAGGGTTAGGGTTAGGTCTACTCTGTCGTGGCTAAAAATCGAAGTCACGTACCGGGTTCGATCGAAAGTTGGTAACCCGTCTGGGGAAACGTACCCGGTTATTTGCGTGCGAGAAGTTTATTACACGCGACTGGCTCGCGTCCTTCGAAAGGGATGCCAGCGAACATCAACGGGTTAACGACCGAAACATCACCACGCTTACGGTTAACCATTTATCTTTCGAAGTAGAGCTGCACAACTACGAGCTTTTTGACTTGTCGCGACAGTTAAAAGTTCATTTAATTTTTAATTAATAACAGATTGTCCCGATTAAGGATTCAAACTCTCACGACTATAGTCGATATTGACCCGAGTTGACATTTCAGAGTCTATCGTGCCAGTCTATCTTTGCGAATCGTGTATTCAGCTATATAAAACTCTTTTGTTCGTACTTGTTTCTATAATTTTTGCGACTCACTCTACTCGGAATCGTCTCGGCGAGTGCTTTTTTTTTCCCTTTCGCTTCTATCGGGACCTGTCGCGAGCGATCAATCTTGGATCTCGTTTGGCGGGAAATAAATGAGAATTCCGACGTGGGTGTCGCTGATATTCTCGCCAATAAGACGGCCATTGTTAAACGACACGCTCGCAGTTTCCGTTCTGGCGATACACAAGCCTCGAACACGGCTTTCATTTCGCGACTGCCTCGCGGCGATTCTTGGCGTAACTCATTAGAGGCGGGACGCGAAAGGATGGCTAATTTCTTTTCGCGAATTCGCGCACCGTAGTCTGAGCCGTATTTTCTATGCAAATTCGCGACTAATTCCCAATATTCGAATCGTTGTAGACGCGTAAAATAATGGCCCGTCGTTGTTAACGATTCGTGGCGACCGGTTTAATTACGACGAGCAGTTCTTTGATCGCGGACGTTTAATTGGAGACTCGAGATCAACGCGAACGTCTCGTTAAAAAGGATAACGCGGAAGCTGTTTCTACGAAGGAACGAGCATCGTTCCGGAAGTTCCCACGTTCAACTGCCCTCATCTCGTTCACGTCCATGACTGCCTTCGCGATTCGTAATCCTTTCCTGCTTCCATACGACTTTCCCTAATCGTCTCTCGACCAGAATCGTCAGCCAGTTCGCACAACCGTGGCCAATTTTCTCCGTGACTTCGTACACGAGCACGGATTGTCGCTTTTTGATATTTTCGAACTCGATTCTTCGACGTTGCTCCTCGAAAAACGGTTCTTTGTTTGCTTACACGCGCGAGGCGTTAGAAACAGTAGAGCAATTACAAGTATTTTATTATTATTTTATTTAATCCTTTCGGTTTTAGAAACTATATGGTAGACACACATGGTACACGCTATGTCGAGTAAAAAGCCTTGGTAAACTACGATCGAAAGATTTACCGCTTCCGAGGTATAATCATTTTTGCACGGTAGCATCGTGATTGAATTACTGGTTTTCACAGGTATTCCTCGCGTCCTCCATTTTCTTATAGAGTAGCGAACTCTGTCGAATTATAGGGTAATAGGCTGATATTTTTAGCTGGATACTTTATAACTGCGTAATCGTTAAATAGATCTGCAATCGTCGATCTGCACTAAGTATAGAAATTTAACGAGAACGTTCAGAACGCAGTGTATAAACACCGAGGTAAACATCGCATGCAACGCGTACAAGTGAGTCAATTACGACGTTGGCTAACAAAAATGATTGTAGTTTGTATCTCGTTCTACCATAGAAATGTTCAGTTTCTTTTGTTGTTTAAACGTCCCGTGCGAACGTTGCAAGACAACGAAACGAATATTTACGAGCGTATCGTTTATGATCGATGAAAATCATCCCCCTTGGGAGCACGGTTTAAACAACTTAAATTCCATTATGCCACGATGGGAATTAGCGTCGAATAATTGGCAATTTCGTAAGTTTCTGGCGGATATATTAGGTTCGATGAGCCGTGGAAGAAATCAGCAGTTTGAATAAGCACTG